TGAGAATAGGTCTGGTGATATTTCTACTACATCATGTGGGGTTGTATTTTTGTTCTGAATGTTTGGAATCCAGAAGTCTAAACACATCCCACATTGAATTCTGTAATTTCTATGGGTGTAGAAGCACTGGACAGAGCAAATGACAAGAAGCTGGTTGTATGCCCCCTTACCCTGAGGCCTAGACTAGTGCCAGGAGGCCTTGGGCTACATGAACATGCTTCTACTTCCTATCACTTGATACAAGGGAATCGGATACATTGAGATATTCAGAAGGTCACTATGAGATTCCAAATTTAGTAGGGATTTTTGGCACTGATCCTCTGGTTACTAAGTAAGGTCAAGGTCATATACTATCTTTGCAAAAGCATCATTATCTGAATAATCTCCAAGATCCTGGCAAAGAAGAAAGAAGGGATGCTTCCCTTTCCTTTCCCAGGCCTGGTCATCTATATACTCAGGACTCTGCTGGACATGTTAAATCTAAGGTTAGGATATTCTTATTTTAGGCTATAATGGAGCAGAATCCTGCTTGCCTTGTTTTCTCCAGAATACGATATGTATATGAATAAATGGTGACTATGATATGGGCACAAAAATCAAGACATATATCAATAACTTGACTACTGCTATTAATTTTATTCTAAGTCTAATTAACCCAATACAGAGAATAGTTCTTTTTTTTTCCCCCCCTTTTCTGCTGTCTCAATGAAATCCACCCTTTTAACAACAACAACAACAACAACAAAATAAACCCTGGTTTTATGTTCTCATTTCCCTCAGCCTTGGGCTGAAATACTCTTGTAGATTTTAAAGGTTGGCCCCTGGAATGCAGGGAAGCCAGCTGAGGCATTGTGGAAACTTTGCCGACCTGGAGTTCGCATTAGCTTAAGTTCTGGCTCTGCTTCCTCCTTACCCGATGATCTCGGGCAAGCAACCTTTCTGAATCTCCAGGGTTTTTGAATATATAAATGAAGTAACTTATAAATATGACTTACAAATTAAAAAATTTTTAAATGTCTCATAAGAACATGAGGTTTCCTTATCTATTTTATGTGCTATGGAATCACCTGTGATAGCAGGTGGGGGGTTAAACTCCATAGGTACCAGGTGGGATGCGACGTCATGCAGGCTCTGCTTGGCCTCATAGAGTCTGCAGACTAGTCCAGGAGATCAGCTGGGGGAGTAAACAAGTGTGACAACCAGGGAGGGGTTGACAAGAGTAGGAGAAAGACACAGGTGCTAGACTTTCTACTCCAGGCTCCCAATGAAAGAACAAAATTGATAAAGCCAATTAATAAACATGATGTGAAGTCCTTCTTCCTCTGCAGAGGTGCAGGGCTGACTAGGAGGGGACCCCAGTGGAGCACATTCTTTTTGTTCCTCTCAGAGTCTTCTAACAAAAGCCCAGTTGTGTCTGTGGAGCTCTGGATGTGTGAGTACCAGCTAGGAGGCCAGGTTGGAGGGATCAGGGAACCCAGCTGGTGAGTGCTGGGGCCAGGAAACTTCCAAATACCCAGGGAGGGTTAGACTAGCATTCATTGGCCTAGCCCAGCAGAACTTGGGTAACACTGGCATTCTGGGGCTCAGATTGAGGTGATACACTGCATGTTTCATCAATCCTGCAGAGATGGTTGTAGAGCTTAACAAGATGTGGTGTCCATATCCAGTTACGGCTACCTTGTTGGCATCCTGGGTCAGTGTAGAAACGGAGCACTCCTGAAGAACCAGAGCAGAGCTGTCAGTGCTTACCTCATCAGCCTGGATACTTTTAATAATAATAAAAAAATTATTGAATAGATGCAATGTGCAGGCCTATTCTAATCCAAGAAAATAAAGTTGAGTAAGAGATAGGATGTTTTCTCAAAAGCATTCCTGTATCAGGGAAGAGAGAGTCCCATGTGCAACTGGCCATAGTTAAGATGTGACTATAAGGTGAGCTCTTAAGAGAGGAGGAGAAATGGAATGGAGGAAAAAAGATGGGTCAGGGGTAGGAGGAGCTAAATAGAAGAGGCAGCATTTCAACCTGGCCTTGAGTTTTGACAGACTCGGGCAGGTAAAAGGGATTTCAGGCAGAGAAATGGCTTGACAGCCCATGCCTCAGTTAGGGAAATGTGCTCTGGTCAGAGCATGGCCCTGGTGGACAGCAGGCAGGAGAGAAATGGTGGGTCAGGTTTAAAGAGAGATTGGGCTCGGACTGTGGAAGACTTTGAAGGCCACATTTAGTGTTTGTGCCTTGTTCAGAGGATGGAGAAGACTGGAGAGGAAGGGGTGACAGGGTAGAAAGAAGTGGAACTTAGAAGGTATGAGAGTCCTGGTTCCTCTTTGTAGCTCTGTGGCCTTAGACACTTACCTTCCCAAAGGGCCACTTGACTCTTTGAGATTGACTTTCTGAGCTGGACAATGAAGATGCTCATCACAATGCTTACCCTACATGCTCAGGGGTGATTGTGTTCCTCTGGTCCTAGGTTTCTGAGATTCTCCTTTGGCAAGGTCTTACTCAAAATATTAGCTCCTTCCTGTCGAGCCTTCCTGGATTTCCCAAGAACTTAGTTGAAAAAAACCAAGACACGTGCATATGAAAAGATAAAGTAGCATACAGAAATATGCTGTATTATATATTATATGGAAATGCTGCAGGCTCTGCAGATATGTGGGATATAAAGAACTTGGACTCTTAGAGCAGAGAGGTCTGGGTTCTAATCCTAGCTCCATTTCTTGCCTAAGCTTGATCAAATTGCTTAATTTTAAAGTCGAGGGTAAAAATACCTTTTCTACCTTCTTTTCAGAATAGCTGTAAAGATTAAATGAGCAACACACATGAAGGCGCGTGGAAAACTTAGAAATTGCTGCACAAATGTTACTCACCATGGCTATTTCTTGAGTTTTGGAAGTAATATGATCCAAAGATATTTTAAAAAGATGACTCTAATAGCTGTGAGATGTGTGAAGTGGAAAGGGAGACAGGTAGTCGAGGGACCACGTAGGTGCTGGGGCAACCGTCCAGGCAGGGAAGGATAAGGTCCTGAATTAGGGTAGGGTGGATTCAAGTGCCCTTTTGAAGTTAGAACCTAGAGAACAGTGGCACTAACTGGACAGGAGGATTGGAAAGAAGCAGTAAGGCAAATGTCAGAACTTTGGATGGTGACACCGTGAACCTCCCCAACCCTTGTTACAAATGCCTGAAATCCAGATAAGGGGAGAACAGGAGGCATCCTAGGGCTTGACTGTTACCCTGACATTCCTGGCCCCAGTTACTCTTCATTTTGACACTCTCCTTCCCTCCCCACATTGGCACCTTACGTGGAACCCCCTGAATCTGCAGCCAGACACAGAAGAATGTGTCCTGTCCCCACACCCTCCGCTTGACTCACCATTATAAACACTTCCTACCTTGGCAGGAGGGCCAGGTGAGACGCAGACATCTACAAGTCCCCCAGTATCTGATAGGCTGGCCTCTCCTCTTCCCCAGCATTGTGACTGGGGTGCTCGCCTCAGCCTCTGGTTCATTTCTTCTTCCTTGGAGAGGAAGGAGGATTTTGTAGGACCCTCAGTGTCTTTCCAATCCTCCTGTCCAGTTAGTGCCACTGTTCTCTAGGTTCTAGCTTCAAAAGGGCACTTGAATCCACCCTACCCTAATTCAGGAGCTCATCCTTCCCTACCTGGACTATTGCCCCAGCACCTTCGTGGTCCCTCGACCACCTGTCTCCCTTTCCACTTCACACATCTCAGTTATTAGAGTCATCTTTTTAAAATATCTTTGGATCATATTACTTCCAAACCTCAAGAAACAGCCATGGTGAGTAACATTTATGCAGCAATTTGTGCACCTGGACTCCCTCATCTTCAGGTTGTGCCTCTTTGTTCCTGGGGATCCCTTGAATACGTGGGACAACTTCCAGGGCAGTAGAACACCTGGCCATGGTGGAAAGCCCTACAGAGGCAAGCAGGCAGTCCAACTTGTAGAGGGTTTGCTGGGGAGGTTTCTGTAGGAATCCAAACATGAAGGACTGTTTGTTCATCCCATTTCCTCACCTACTGAATTCGATCCTCTTCCCAGAGAATTCTTGTTCTCACAGGGCTTTGGTCCTTTCATTCTCAGGGGTGGCTCTGTTCCCTCTGCCTGTTAGCAGACTCGGTCTTCTTCCTGACCTTCACTATGGCTTTACTCTGTCTCAGCTCCCTCTGCCCCACTGGACCTCCCCACTGTCCTTCTGCTGGGTACCTTTCTTATTTAAATGACACCATCCCTCTAAGCCCCCAACAGTGTCATTGGTCTTCAGTGGCATCCCTTATTGAGCACCACAACATACTGGACACCAAAAGTAGCACAGCATTATGGTTAAGGTTCAAATTCCAACAGGCTATTTCACCCAAGTCTTGACTTCTACATCTTTTAAATGATAATTTTAATCGTGCCTGCTTCAGAGGATGCTTGTGAGGGTAAAAGGAGTTAATGGGTAGGAGAAACTTTCTACTGGACTGAATCATCATCATCATATATATCAGTGTTGTTATCAAAAACACCAAGGACAGCTATGTCCTTGAGAGGGTGAAGGGCTTTCATTCTACCTGAAGAGATGGAATGTTGTATTTTTAAACCTAGTTTGTCACATGACTAAGAAAGACCCTTTCAAAATAAAGTAAGTAGGGCTGGGGTTGTGGCTCAGCCGTAGAGCGTTTGCCTAGCATGTGTAAGGTACTGGGTTCTATCCTTAGCACCACATATAAAGAAATAAAGGTCCTTGGGAAAACTAAAAAAAAAAAAATTAAAAATAGAACAAGCAGGGAGTGTGGTCCGGATTGGTATGCCACCAATCTGGGCAGGCCTCCTGTGTGAGGGAGGCTGAATGAGGCTGACTCCTGTTTAAACCTTGAAGAAGATCACATTGCAGCTTGGGAAAAGGGGATGCGGATGTGAGGTGTACAGAAATCCTTGATCACCCTTTCTGTTTGCCATGGTGGTGTCCAAACCCAGTGTACTTGGCCCTTTTTGTCCACAGGGAATTTGCCAAAGAGAGGGAGAGAGTGGAGAACCGAAGAGCGTTCATGAAACTTCGGCGTCAGCAGCAGATAGAGCGGGAGCTGAATGGCTACCGGGCCTGGATAGACAAAGCAGGTGAGGGCTGGAGGGGCTGGGGCAGGTGGCACCGCCATTGGCACCTGCCCCTCCTGATGCTTCCAATAGCTTCATTCAAGGGGCAGCCTAGCCAGAGCAGAGAGATGCTCTGGGTGCCTGGTGAGCAATTTGGGTTCCCTGTTAGTACCATTTTCTTCCTCTGGGGTCTGATTGTCCCTGTTCTTGTACTAAATATTGTTCATGAGGTAGGCAGTTAACAAGGTGAACTGGGTAAAACCTAACATAACTCAGTCCTAGACCTACATTTGGGTTGGTGATTTTTTTATACTCTTCTTCTTGTTACTAACAGTCGATACCTTTAGCAAACATATATTGAGCACCTACTTTGTGCCAGGCCCTTTCTCAGGAACTTGGCAATGATGAGCCAATTGGACTCCAAAATTCATATCTGGTGGAGTTCATTCTCCTCTAGTTGGGGAAAGAAAGTAATTAAAAAAAAAAAAAAAGATAAACTTGAAGAGGATACTGTTACCAGAGTTTTAGGGCAAAGGCCTTGGTTCCAAGAGTGCCAACAAATCGGGTTCAGGCTTGGCCACCCATCCCAATATGTCAATCAAAGAGATGAGTGGCTCTGAAGTGGGTTGAAAAAGCTTTAATCAGTGTGGTCACATTGAGAACAGATAATAGAGGTTCAATCATCTAAGATCTATCTTCAAGGGTCTAATGGGAACTTTGAGTTTTTATAGAAAATGAGAACAAGGCAAGGGTTGGGGGCTTGAATGACGGGATTTTGAGTCGCTGGTGGAGGAGGTCACCTTGGTCAGGCCATGGTCTGGTGGATTTCCTGTGAACTCCAGGAAAGCCATCATTGCCTGAGGGGGCTATTCGGTTACCTTGGTGGATGATTGCTCTTACTTAGAAGGTCAGCCATGGTTCCATTATGGGGTGATTGCTTCCTCTCAGGGGAGCAATCTCCTCATGGGGTGCTCTGTTCTATGTACTCACGGTTGCTTGGGGTAGGTTCAGTTCCTTGTTATCAAGATGCTTATCTATCAGACCTATTGTTCCTGGTTCCCAAGTCAACTGCAGAAAGAAAAAAGAGTCAGGGACAAATGGAGTTGGTGGGTCAGGGCCTGAGCCCTCCTTTTGTAGGAGCAGTGGGAGAAGGTAGGGCTGGAGGCCTAGGATGTGCTGTGATCCTATAGAGGGGTTAGGATAGGCCTGTTTGTGTCAAGACTTAAAGAAGATGAAGAAATAGGCCCCAGGAAGATCCAGAGGAGTATATCAGGGCCAACTCCCTATTGTGGGACAGAGCCAGCAGCGTACCTGGAGTGGCACAAGTAAACAAGAGGAGGGTGTTAGGAAGCGCAGTGGGGACAGTCAGGGGTGGGCAGCAGTCACATAGGACCTTAGGAGCCATGGTAAGAGCTTTGGACTGAGCACAGCACTGCCATGCTGACTTAAGATTTTAATGAGCACGTTGCAGCCATCCAGGTAAGGGGAGAGTAGAAAGAGGTGTTTTCCTAAGGCCTGAGCTGTGACCACTTCTCATCCCATGGCCTAGCTCTAGGAATGGCCAAGTCCCAGCTCTGAGGATCAGCCCAAACCTGTCATGATTTCATCAATACCCAGAGCCACCAGATTCCAGTCTGCTTGTGGCTCAACTCATCGATCATCCTCTAACTGTCCATGAAAAGAATGCATTTGCTTTCATTATTACTTTGAAGGTTGGATTTTATCAGTTATAGATCTTCATTTTCTTTCAGAAAAAGTGATATTTTTAAATAAAAAAAAATATACACATGATGACAGTCAGCTTCTTTCTCTATTCCTAGTAGAAATTATACCATAGATGAGGTTATGTGGGGAAATTGTGATCCTGGGTTGCCTTCACTTTAGTCTTCCATGGGAGCTGTGGGATGCCACTGTCACACACTAAGGCGCAAAAGCTCTTTATGTTCTGGAGTCAACTTTTGATTATAAGGGCTGAGAGAGTGCATGTATGATTGAAATAAACATTCTGGTTCAGGACATGCACATTTCCTTGTTTCTAGAAGCATGAGCTGTGCGTGTGGACTCTGCTTCCGTTTCGCCCTGTCCCCACCAAGGCTGTTTGGGGGTGAGGTGAATATGAACCTCGCCTACCTCTTGCCAGAATGGTAACTCGGCCTCACCCGGGAGGGCTTGCAGATTTGCCTCGAGGCCAGGCAGGCAGCTTGACATTCCCCACTGTCCTTGGCGTCCTTGGTGGAGGAACCATCTGACAGACTGCTGAGTGAGCTGGCAGCAGACCCAGAAAAGAACCTTCCCAGCCCTGACGGAGATCCCACGCAGGGTCAGGTGGCAGGGTGTGCCATTCTTTTGTGGCTGCACTTCTCGGATACCTGCAAAATTCCAGGGCTTCCCTTTCTTCCAGTTAGCAGACCCAGCACTCTCCTCCTTCTAAGAAAAAAGACGGCACTGTGACGTCAAGTTGTGCTTCCTGGCCCTTCCCTTTACAAATGGAGCGTGAGTGAATCAGAGACATATGGGTTACATTTCCCTGGAAAGACAACTCCAGTTCGAAAGAGAACTTGGCAAGAGGCATTGGTGGGGGAGGGGTGGTTTCAGCACATCCAGAGCCCTCGAGCGCTTCCCAGAGATCCTCAGCACTCCCCACACCTCCCCTCTGCCTGGAGGTTCTCAGATCTTCCCATCTTAAAGCAAGATACTGCTGCAGAGCAAAACTGACTCTCTGGCTAAGGTAATTAATGTGGCTATGAGGTGTTTTAACAAGGTCCTAATTTTAAAGCGGTGCCCTCCAAATAACATGTGCTATAAATGGCATTAAAAGGCTAAATATGTGTGCATGGAGGTGCACCCCACCATAACACTTAGCCTGTTAGCTTAGTGTTTCGCCAGAGGCTGCACTTAAAAAAGAAAGCTAAACATTTATGACTTGCATAATGGCCATCCTGCATAGTAAGGTCCAAGTCTCAAAATGTTCGCTTCCCCGGGAAATATATTATATATTCTGTTTTATATTCAAGTGGAGTTATGGTAATGGCTATACCCTCTCCTGCTTGTCCTTTTACAAGTTACTTGTTACAAGTACTTAAATTAAACTATTGTTTAATAGGGTCTGCTTAGAATTCCCAGCAGCTGGGATTTGGGGTATGATTGGCAAGGCTTCCAGCTCTCTGTCCTGGGTGTTGAGGAGGGGTGAGATCAAAACTCATGCATCTCACTGCCAGGAGGGCTCTTGGGAGTCCACCAGATTTGGGGCAGAAGGGCGATTTTATCGGTACTTCCTATAGGGATGCTAGTGAGGTTTATTGCAATCTGAGGAAACGAGTATTTCTCAGATAATGTCCTGTCTCTGGAATACAAGATTGCCCACCAGCAAACAATACCAACTGATTCTTCATTTTTCCAACACCAAATGGGTGTCTCAAGAGTTTGGTTGAACTTTGATCTTCAACATCGCCCAAAGCTAGCATGGACCCCACAGGTTAGACAGTCCCTCTAGACTGTCTCTGCTCCATATGCTGGAAAGAGGGGACACAAGTGACCTACATTTCTCCCTGACTGTATATTTGAAAATCCCATGATCCTTGCCTCCACTCCTGACAAGTTCAACAACTTGCTAAAATGACTTATAAAGGGCTCAACTCGGGAGTTGCGATCTGTGAGGCAAGCTGTGTTTTGAGGAGGGTGCTCACCACCCTCCCTGCAGATGGATGTTTTCACCCAACCAAGAAACTTCCTAAACCATTGGTCTGGGGGTTTTATGGAGACCTCATTACATGGGCATGCTGAGTGTATTAAATGCTTAATGCTTACATCACTGGCCACGATTGATTGAACTTGATCTCCAGCGCCTTTCCCTCCCCAGATGTGGAGATGGGAAGACACTAAAGTTCCAATTCTCTAATCATATGGTTGGTTTTTCTGTCCACCAGCTATCCAGGTTCCCTTTGCCTGCCGTGAGTCACCTCATTAGCATAGAATAGAGCGCTTTGTGCCAGGAGCTGGAGATGAAAACCAAATATTTATTATTATATCCTGGGGTAAATTCACAATGGGCCCAATCTTCTTTGGCTCAAGCTCTGCGCATCCAAGGCAAGACAGAGATGGTGGGCCACGAGAAAGCAGCCCACAAGTCTCGCTCCCCTCTCTGGGACCTTTAGGCCTCTTTCTTCATCCCGTCCTAAGAGACATGGACGGGGCACAGCTAGAATGTGGTCTCACCTCTGGGTGAGTAGGTAGGTGTCACAGCCTAAGGGACATTGACAAAAGAAATAAGGATGATCCCATTCCTAGAAAAGAATTTAAGAGATTTGAAAAAGAAACAAGTATAGAAGGAAAAAAAAAAGGAACTTTTTTAGACCTATCAACTTCGAGGATGTAGTTAAAAAGACCACCTCTTCTCGCCACTCATGGTGTGCCCCTGAGAGGGTATCAGGAACGGGGCTGAATTTTTCAAACCCCAGGCAGCCCCTCACTGAGACCCCTTCCTGTTCTGTGCACCCTGTGCTCCTGGGTGGCACTCGGGCTCTTCTGTGCTGGCACACGTGACAGGCTCTGAACCCTGTTGCCTTGAGCCAGCGCTGTCCCCAAGGCATCTCCATTTTGCACCATAATTTGGCATTAACAGATCATTTTCTAAACCATTTCTTTTTTCCATCTAGAGGAAGTCATGCTCGCTGAAGAAAATAAAAATGCTGGGACGTCAGCCCTGGAAGGTAAGGAAGTGTTCCAACACCCTGCTCCGTTTGCATTTGCCCCTCTTCTGAGGTGGCCATCTCTCTTGATCAAAAGAAGAGAAAGAAAGAAAAGAGGGGAGCGCTGGGATTTGAGGCGCGAGTCTCTCTGTAATAAAACCCCTCATGCTTTAAAATGAAGGGAATTGAGTCACAGATTTAAATGCCTTTTAAAGTGATGAAAATGAAACCCAAGAGTTGCTTTGTTCCAGGGCATGTGATTGGTGTTGTGCAGTGCAAAGACCATCATCCAACCAGTGGTATAGAAAGGGATCTTGTTTTAAGATTTGTGGGGATCATCTTGGGACCACTTTCATTACCGGGAAGTGGCGTTATTTATGAAGAGCCAGAACGCGTAGATTCGGAGTGTCTGTTCACCTAGTGCATTTACACTAGCTCTATCGAGGATTCCGGAGCTCTTGAGTTTCAGCAGGCGCGAGCGAGCGTAGCCCTCTTGGTTCTGTAGACAGTCTCGATTTCTGTCACCCTGGCTCCAATACTAAAGGCAGACGCCTGTGTCACAGGGTCCTTGCATAAGGCCTCTTGCCTACAGCCCTCAAAGTTTTGTCCAGGATGATCTGGGTGTACTTGTGGCCTCTCACTGGCCTTCCCCTTCCCTGGCGTAGTGCTTCGAAGGGCAACCATCAAAAGGAGCCGGACGGAGGCCATGACCCGAGACTCCAGCGATGAGCACTGCGTTGATATCTCTTCTGTGGGTGAGTGATCCAGTCAGATCTTCTTTTACTTCTCTGGATCTCCCATGAAAATGAAGATCCTGTCTTTTGAGAAGAACCACAAGGAGGAAAAGAACCCACAGGATCCAGAACTTAGGGATGTAATTAAGGGAAAGCGTGGGAATCGGATCTAGATGGCAGTGATTTAAATGGAGGAAAAAGAAAAGGAAAAGGAGCAGGGAATGCTGTTTATGTGAAATGCGGGGTTTAGGGTTCTCCAAGTGTGGCCCTTGTGTCTCATTTGCCAAGGTATCCTCTCTCTCCTGGGTGTGCTCCTGAGAACCCGCTTTGGGATACAGGCTGAGCATCCCTGATTTAAAATTCAGAAATGTGAACCTTCTTGAGCAATGATATGGTGCCACAAGTGGAAAATTCTACACCATGGAATTTTGTTTCTTGTAAAAATTGTTAAGAATATGGTATAAAATTATCTCCAGGCTACGTAGGTAAGGCGTATACGAAACATAAATGAATCCTGTGTTTAGATGTGGGTCCCATCCCCAAGATATCGCATGATGCATAGGAAATATTCCACTGTCTGAGAAAATCTGAACCCTGAGATGCTTCTGGTCCCAAGCATTTTAGATAAGGGACACTCATCCCATGTTCAGGATGTTGAGAATCTACCTATTGCTTCTAGTGACCCAGACGTGAGAACTTAGTCGTTTCCTTAACCATAGTAGCACTTACTTCCTTCCATCATGTGAAATTTAAACTAATTCCTCTTAACAACCCTTTGGTATTTCTGAAGTTCAATCCCAGGTTCTCTTACAGATTCTGGCCAATGGCAGATTTTTTCCTCCCAGAAAAAGGCAGGATCTCACTCCATCCTTAAAAGCAGAAGAGACTTACAAAGCTTTCTGTCACAAGTAGCAGCAATATCACAAATGCAGCAGAAGGATTCCGGTGTCTGAAGCATATTTAAAAGGAAAGAGCAGAGAGAAGCCCAATCTTTTACAAACAGACATGATCCCATTAGGATTCAAGACACTGGGTGTTTGCTTGCTGTCCTGCCTGGGAGTCTTTTGATTTTCTAGGCCTGAGTCTTGGAGAGAAAAAACAGGGTTTGTGCCTGTGGAAATTACTTAGCCTGTAACATAGGGATTTCCCAGGCCTGCAATGTGGCGGTCACCTTGCCCTGGGACTCAAGCTGCCCACCTTGCCCTTTGGCTGCCTCCTGGCTGTGGAGGGTGATCTCAGGAGGTTTCGCAGCCTCATTCTTCCTCCTCGTTTCCCCCGCTTAGGTACGCCTCTCGCTCGAGCCAGTATCAAGAGCACAAAAGTAGACGGGGCCTCCTATTTCCGGCACAAGGAAAGGCTTCTGCGCATCTCTATTCGCCACATGGTTAAATCCCAGGTGTTTTACTGGATCGTCCTGAGCCTGGTGGCACTCAACACTGCCTGTGTGGCCATTGTCCATCACAACCAGCCGCAGTGGCTCACTCACCTCCTCTGTAAGTGAAGGGTGTCTGCTTGGCCCCTCCTGAGGGCAAGTGATTGGGACGGGAATGAGTGTCAGAGAGCAAAGCATGGACAGCCTGACAGCCTCCTGTCGGCCCAGGGTTCTGTGCCTTTATACTGTGAGGGAGACCAGAGTCATCTGCGAGGGGCTGGGCTGTCATACAGCTGCTCCCAGAATTCAGTTCTTATGGAATTAGGTAAACAAATCCTTGCTGATTAGTTAACAGGTTGGGTTAACCTGGAGTATGTATTAGGAGACCTTTGTGGAATAACTTGAGGAGACTCAATGGTGAAAGTACTTCCTATTACCAAAGTCCCAGGGAGAAAGTTCTTAGGGCAATAGATACTTTACATGGACCAAAAAGGTCAGCTCTGGGTAAGACTGCCACTGGGTACAACTGAGTCCAGGAGTTACTTACAGGTGGGTGGTGGGAGGGAAAGTCTAATTCTTCCATCTAAGCCATGATAAAGTTCTTTACTTCTCTTATGAGCTCATCCTCCACTCAAAGACCAATGAGAAACCTACTTCTTGAAAAACAACAAAGCCTGGAACCCATCCAGGCTCAGAGAGTGTCCAGTTATCCTAACACAGCCAATGAAAGTCCCTAGAGTGTGTTGTCATGGGCTCCTCTGGCGGGCGTGGTGGTGTTAGTTGGAGTGTGCAAGACCCCACACCATCTATGACCAAATGCTCCTCCTTTTAACACTTTCAGACTATGCAGAATTTTTGTTTCTGGGACTGTTTCTCTTGGAGATGTCCCTGAAAATGTACGGCATGGGGCCTCGCCTTTATTTCCACTCTTCATTCAACTGCTTTGATTTTGGGGTAAGTCCTCAGAAGCCTGCCTGTCTTTCTGCTTTGTGTTGCCATGCTGTGGTTTTAGATAAGCAACTTGCTCCACTGCTCAGCATGACCCATTGAAGTCAGAATTTGCAAAAGGAGAATGGATAAGAGGAGCTAGAGAGAGTTTAGAAGTGAACAGATCCTGGCCGTGCCAGGGTTTGTTTGGGTTTTTAAAGCTCTTTGGTTTTTCGTGTTTGTGTTGATGTGTAACACATAATACTAAGCATATAGCTCAATGAAATTTTACAAAGCTACCCATAGCCAGAATCTTGAACCACTTATTATCTTGGGGAAGTCTGGGAGAGAAGGACAAAGGACATAATTCTAGAGGTAGTTCTGCGAGAAAGCAAAGGTTATATATTTGGGTTTTTTTTTCTATTTTTGTTAAAATTAGCATAATTATCCAGATAGACCCTCATGTAAACACACACACGTGCTTTTATTCGCAAGTCCCCCATAGAACATTTTAATCAGCTGTTTGATTTCTACCTAACTTCTAGGTGTGCGTCCCACCAGCAATCTCTAAATCGTTCACACTGTGTTTTGCTCCTGCAGGGATCAGGGGAGTCCTGTATGCCCTCCTGGGTGAGGGGAGTTGGCACTCTCCCTTTTTACGCAGAGTTCCACAGGTCTGCACACCCTGTGAGCAGAAGAATGAGGTCACAGAACTTTGGGTTCCTGAACCCCTCCTCTTTCTGCCAAACCTACTTCTTTTTCTGCCAAAGCTTAGTTAGGTGCTAAGGATTTCAAGCTCTTCTCAATCTACATTTTCACTTGGAACATATGGTTCTGAGTACAGGCAATTCGCAGGCATAACAGTTAGCGAGAGACCATTTTAACCTTGGTTTTCTCGTGTACGTACTTTTCAGCATTGCTGTAAGGATTAATTTATTATTTTTCTCGGCACAATGACTAATATAGTAGACAATCAATATGGAACTAAAACCATAAATTGAAGTGTTACTTTGTAATTGCTTCTTTCTATAACAATCCAACCCTATGTCAATAATCATTGTCACATTGGGGTATGTGGGTCCTCAGTGACTAAAAGATATCTAACATAATGGGACCAGAACATTCTTGTTAACACTAAACTCTAGAATGATGAGAGAACATGGACCCTCTGAGATTTCTAAATCAGCACATAATCTGTACTAATTCAAACTGGTTCCCAAGATGGACACGTTGGGCCATACTGGTAATCCCAGCTACTCGGGAGACAGAGAATCTCAAATTGGAGGCCAACCTGGGCAACTTAGGGCATTGAGAGGTGAGTGGCAGAGTCATATTTTTCTCTGGTACTTTCAAAAATTAGTAGCCCGATTGGAGGTAGGCCAGGTGGGGAGCAGAGTCTTAAATTCTCCATAGCCCAGAGGGAGCTGTTGATTGTGTGCTCAATACCAGAATGCTTCTCTTCGGCTCTCACTGCTGGGTTTGCCTCTTAGGTCACAGTGGGCAGCATCTTTGAAGTGGTCTGGGCTATCTTCAGACCTGGTACATCTTTCGGAATCAGTGTCTTGCGAGCGCTCCGGCTTCTGAGAATATTTAAAATAACCAAGTAAGTAATGAGAATTTGAACTCAAGCACCCTTGCGAGTAGGGCCTTTTTCTGCCTTATTAAGTTTCTTTCCAGCCTTCTTTTTTTTTCCAGACCACAGATTTCCCTTCCCCGTTCCCCCTACTCCATTTTCCAGTTCCTCTTCCTCCTCCTCCAAAGATAGACTAGAAAGATATCTGTGGTGCCAGCTCTGGTGCCGCATTCCCCCAGGGGGCGACACGCTGCTGCCATCTTCTCTTCCTGGAACTCTCCAAGTACAGCCTATTTTATAGACCCTCAGTCAGATGCTGACCTGGACTTGGGGATGACTCGATATCCAGTGTCCACAGCTGTGACTCTGTCTGGGTTTTCTAGGTACTGGGCTTCCCTCCGCAATCTGGTGGTCTCCTTGATGAGCTCCATGAAGTCTATCATCAGCTTGCTCTTCCTCCTCTTCCTCTTCATCGTCGTCTTTGCGCTGCTAGGAATGCAACTGTTTGGAGGCAGGTGAGTGCCAAGTGCCTTTCATCTGAAGTCCAGGGTCATTGATTCCATCAACCTGCTACCGTCTCATTTGCTCTGGTTCATGGACTGAAAACAGCACAGTGCACATATGGGACAAATGTCTCTGCTTTTAGCCCTTCACACTGTAGGGGTGCTTGTTCTGGGGACCTATGCTTTTGGAGCTGCCCCTGAAGTGTACAACAGGGAGTCTTGTAATTGACAATCAGCCCAAACCCTGTCTTATTAACCACACCTTTCAAAGTGCATAGTTCATCAGTACAAGTCACTGCTACCATCTTCATAAGGCACATGGGATGGGGTAAAGTGTAGGGGAAAGGGGAGATGTGGAGAAAGGAGAAAAGTGGTGAAGCTGTGATCTTGGGAGAATGTGGTACACGAGATTCCCATTGCATTTTCCTCTCCAAATCTCCTTTTCAGGTTTAACTTTAATGATGGTACTCCTTCTGCAAATTTTGATACTTTTCCTGCAGCCATCATGACTGTGTTCCAGGTATGAGGTTGATAATCTAGAAATGCTATGTCACTTTGGCTCCACGTGAGGGACGACAATGTCTTCAAGGGTTGGGAGACTCCCGTTTTTCCTCTCCAGGCCCCTCCCAGGGAAGAGGGTACTCTTCTTTTTGAACAATACCACAATCCCTTGGATTTCTGTGGCTCGGTTTTTAACCCATAACAAAACAATTCTATTATGCTCACCTCAGTGTCCTCTCCCTATATCCAAGTTTGCATGACACAGAGTTGGACACATTCAGTCAAATCACATTTGTGGTTGCCTGAAATCTGGAGCATCTTCTAATCCACGTGATCATTTAAAGAGGTTTTTTTTTTTTTCCATGTTCCCTTCCCCCAAAAAAAAAAACATGCTATCAACACTGATAGCGTGTTAGATTCTTTCAGATAAAGAGAAACACTACTTAAAAATCTGGGGCTAAACTGGAGCCCATGAGGCTCTCTTCAATAATGCTGCTGTCTCTGGAACTAAGTGTTGTCAGCTCTAGAAACAATCAGGTATTGATCAGTCCACCTGATCTGTGTGAGTCCCACGGGGCCTGCCTGAGCTGGGAATCGCTCTGTAGTCTGAGGAATAGAACCATTCGTTTTGATTTCCTTCCATTTTCAATGTCCAAAATTCTCTTGTAAAACAAAAGAATGATTAGGATTATTCATAGGATTGACCTCACCCCCCAGTAGGCAGACCAAGCAAGGAGGTAGATGGAAAAGATCCAGTCTTAGGATTTACCCTTTGCACTGGCCCAAAGTCCTGATGGGCTTGTCCATTGCTCTGTGTAGATCCTGACAGGGGAGGACTGGAATGAGGTGATGTACAATGGGATCCGCTCCCAGGGTGGGGTCAGCTCAGGCATGTGGTCAGCCATCTACTTCATTGTGCTCACCTTGTTTGGAAACTGTATCCTTTTGAGATGTTCTTCTCTATACTGACACCTTCCTGGACCAGCACCTGAGGAGGGTGTGGTGCTAGACATGGTAGAGCTTGGGTGGGCAAGGAGAAAGGTCACAAACATTGTTTGGTGTACTAGAGGAAATACGGATTCTGGTCTTTGAGAACTCGTGTGCTAGTTCTGTAAAGAATACAAACCCGAGACAGAATTATCTAAATACACAGTCTACTCAAATAGTCACAAACATGTCCATCATGTTGAATGGTTGGAGAGACTCTGAATGAACACAATACAAAAGGACAAAGATCATTGTAGGCTGAAATAATGGATGGATTTAATACTAATGAATTAATTAAATGATAATATAAAAAGTCTGCCACATAGTAAAATTTTAAAAATATTAGTATTATGATTAATATTACTCATGCTAATTAATGCTAATACTGAGCATTAATAACATTATAAACTAACATAACTATTATTTTTGTGTGACTCCCTGGACAGCTTTCTTTTTATACATTTCTTTAGTTTATAATCTTCCTCTGAACTCTAAGTTTTCAGGGATGTGCTTGCTATTCAGCATAGCTAATATTTATTGAATTTATGCTGTCTGTATGTGAGGCCTTACACTCTGTGCCATACGGGCACATTTCATCTAATCCTCACTTTATAAGGAGAAGAGAAATGACCTGATGGGGTCAAGCAACAGCTAAATTGTGAAGTAAGATTAGAAACAAAATCCTCTAGCTCCAAAGCTTATATCTGGTTAAAAGATCTGGACCAGGAAGATTTAAGTTTGAATCCCAGCAATCCTGCTTGCAGGTGTGTGGCCTTGGAAAAGTCATTTGGAGTTTTTGTTTTTCACATCTCAAGGGAAAATAACGATATCGCCTCTGTTCATAGTGAATATGGAATAAGATAATTATTTGACTGTACCTTAAAAACTGCAAACTACCATGTGATGATTAGATAACCTGGGGGAATGGAACTTGCCTTGAACTGGGATTAGTATTGCCAAAAGGGAGAGCCATGGCTGTAGTTTTGCATTTTCTACAGTCTTGTGAAAAAAGAAATACTTTAGAAGTTTTCAGGGCAAAAAACTTAGAGATCAGAGAAGACTATAAACATGAGAAATTCTTAAAAAGAAAGCTACAAAATGAGTCACAAAGATGGAAGGCCAGGTTGTCACAGTGGCATCTTAATTTTTCCTGTTATTCTGAGGATGGCCAGAGTTGGCCTTTTATGCTAGAATCAATTTTATGTTCTGCAACACTTGGGTCTTGAAGACAGAAAATTGGGGATTCAGGGGCTAGAGCGTGGAATAGAAGTGGATTTCATAACGAATCGTGTCTGTGCTGTGACATTTTGTTAAATGAATCATGGAAGCCTCCTAGGACCTGAACAAGAAGAATGAGAGAAGCAAGTTTTAGGGTACCATTATTGAGAGTTGCTCGGTGACAGGGATGTGGGATCTCATTTCCTTTCATCTGTAGGGACAAAATAATGCCCATTGGTCCAGGCAGGGTTCAGTTCAAGCCTCCCAGGAAGGAGAAATGAGCTCCTGCCTTCAGCTGTCTGCTCGTCTTGTTCTGTGATTCTCTTGCCATTTATTGCTGTGAGTTGGACACCGTCATCTGGAGGCTTCCTCACCCCACAGGGCCTCCTAGGTGGTTTGCTTCAGACATTATTGGTCCTTTGTGAACAGAAGATATACAGAAGGAGGAAAGACATGTCCTCTTTCTCCTGCCAACAGCATGGCGCAGCATTTCCCCCCACCACCACCCCACAGACCCTAGCATCATCTCCTGCCAGTGTCCAGGAGGGATAGACGAAGAGGTGGCCTCACAGACTTGCCAAGGCTTTTGCTTTTCTCACTTATCCTTAACCCATAACCCCAGACACACTACTGAACGTATTCTTGGCCATTGCTGTGGATAATCTGGCCAACGCTCAGGAGCTGACCAAGGTAAGCCTCTGGGAATCGGATGGTTTTCTAGTACCATTGGGGGGTCCCCTGGCCCTAGGAACTCTCAGGAAGTCTGCATTGCATGACTGAACCTACAAGGGAGACCTCTTCTGGAAGCTTCTGGACAGTTGGAAAGTGACATATTCATACAGGAAGCATGGTTCCCTTTCACTGAGTTTGCCAAGTCCAGACCAGCCTGGGGGGTCTCATGGGCTATAGGAAACAACTCCTTCTGTGAGTCCTCAAAGGGGTCCTTTCCAAGATTATAACATGAACAGTCAGGGGAAATTCTAGAGCTCTGGATTTTAAACTGCACCTCTCCTACAGTGACCTGTGAGTGTGATCTCCATCATGCAACCTAACCTTTAAGGTTTTAGGTTTGGGTGTGAGAGGAGTGGGGTAAGGCAGTTCTTGCTGCTGGGGGGTATTCCAATGGCCATGGTTACTCTGAGACAGTGTCAATGAAGCAAGACACTACATTTCTCAAGAGCTTTTCTTTCTTTCCTCCTCCTTTTCTCTCCAAATTGCAGTGGGGAGGTCTAAGGAGATAAGTGAAAACTCTTCTCCCCACACAATGCAAATTTGTTTGGGGAAGAGGCACAGAGCATGCTGGTAACTTTGTTCAGCTTTCCCCTTGTATTCTCTGAAGTGTTGCTTGCTCTCCTTCCATTGCTTGAGGGTCTTATCTGCCTGGTGTGGTAGGAAGGATACCACCAATAGTATCTGAAGGCTGGGTTTGAACCCTACACCTGGCACTAACTGGCTGTTCTAGCTTTGGCTAGACTCCTGATTTCTAGAGCATCCTTTTCCTCCTATGTAAAGATGGGAATGGTACATCTCCCCTGTGGGCCTCACAGCATTACCCCAAGGATCAGGTGAAAGAATGTGTGTGGAAACCATAGGATGCTAGAGAGATGTGTGTGTTCTTGATGCTTCTAGTCACTCTACCTGAAATAATTTTCCTTGATGTCATCATTTATGAGCAGGAATACAGGTGAGGAAATGAAATCTCTGCCTAAGAACCCAGGGTGGAGCCAATTAGCTATGCAGGGAAGTTGCCGTGATGGGGTGCCAGGCCTCAATGCTTGTTTTAGGGGGGCTCTGTGGGAAATAACTCTGCTCTGTCATATCTAAATACTGCAGGACGTCTGAGAAGTGTCACCTCTTGCCACTGACCTCTGTAGCCTGGGCCAGCTCTGCTCAGGGCTCAGGGAGGAGTAGATGTTTATAGGTCTCCTGAGCAGCTATGGGGGGCTGGGTGTAGGGGGAAAAGGAGCATTTCTGGCCCTGTGGGGCCTGTGAGCCTCCTGGCTCCTAAGGGGCCTGGTCTCTGGTCACCAGGTCTCTAATGCTGCTTCACCTGAGGCTGCCTTGTTCACCCTCTTCCTTGGCTTGACCACTTCTCCTGTTCTTCAGAATGCCCTCTGGGGACACCTAGAGGAAGCTACTCTCCTTTATGAGGATCCAAAGCAAAGCCATCTCTGCTTTATGTCTAGGATGAACAGGAAGAAGAGGAGGCCTTCAACCAGAAGCATGCACTGCAGAAGGCCAAGGAAGTGAGCCCGATGTCCGCGCCTAACATGCCTTCCATCGAGTGAGTCCACCGCCCCCTCTCCTGACCCTGGGCATCTACTGTACCAAAGCCAGTCCATCAACTCATAAAATGATGGATTGTAGGAACGTGCCTCCCCCATGCCAGGAATATTCCTGAGAACGCAGCAGAACACAGGACGGAAGTTTCTGTTCTCATGGAGAATGATAATAAACCTGCACATTTCAGACAGCAGTAAGTGTGGCAAAGCGAGCAGAACAGGTTGTAAGGCAAGAGTTTTGGGGAGATTCCTTAGAGGGACTCTATGGGAGGCAGTGTGTAAGCAGAGACCTAAACCTAGAGAAGGCAGTTGGGTGACATTTTAAAGAATGTATTTCCCAGCAAGGACCAGCATGGCTGAGGTGTAGTGAAGGAGGTGGCAATGCCAGGGAGGTGGGCAGGAGCCAGCTCAAAGCTACCTAACCCCCAGGTGAAGGAATTTAGCTTTTATTCTAATTGTAGCCACTGGAGGGCTTGCTGTGGGAGGATGAGGAAATAGGATTGACACTTCAGAAGGTCACTCTGCTCTGTGGAGAATGGATTTTGGGGCCAAGAGTGGAGGCAGAGAAACAGGGTTGGTTCTTAAAGTAAGTGATGGCGACTTAGAGGCGGGTAGTGGTGATGGAGTCAGAAGGAATCCCATTCGGTCTGTGTTTTGGAGTGAGAACCAATGGGACGAGCTGGTAGATTAGATGCAGTAGGGGTGAGGGTGACGAGATGAAGAAACAAAAGTGGCTCCCAGGTTTTAAGGTTTTGAAGCTTAAACAGCTGGGTAGAAGGTGGTGGTATTTACTGATCCCCTGGAGATGGTGGAAATCTAAAGTTCATTTTGGCCACATTAAATTTGAGACACTTCTAAGGAATCTAAGTGTTTGGATAGGCTATTGGTTACACGAGTCTAGAGCTTAGAAGAGAAGTCAGGATTAAAATAAAGATTTGGAGGAAGTCATTTGCATTTAGATGGTATTTAAGCCATCAGTGTGGGTGAGATGACCCAGGGAGAGTGGGAATAGGGAAGAGAGGAGCTGAGGACAGTGGCTGAGCATGCGCCTGCCTGCGCTTCAGGTCTGCCAGAAAATTCAACAAATGAGGCTGAGGGGGTGCAGCCAGGAGTCAGGAGAACGGGGAAGCTGTGTCCTGGAACCTATAGGAGAAACCCTGCGGGAAGGAGGAGTAGGAGCCGCGCTACCTGCTATTAAAGGACCGCTTAGGATGGGGACAGAAAAGGGACCCTTGGATTCAACAAGAACTGTTAGTGACCTTATGAGTAGCCAGGTGGGAACAGAATCCAGGTGGACTAGATTGGGGAGAGAAGGGGAGGTGACAAAGTGGAGGATTCAGCCTGGATCTAGGGCTACAGGTAGAACTAGGGCCTTTAGCCTGGGCCCTGCAGGGGCCTGGCCTCTCCCTTGTGAGAGGGAGAGGTCTGGGAGGAGGGGCTCAGAGCCTATCATTGCTTTGGACCTGCATGAGGCCTGTGTGAGTGGCCCAGAGGGCATCCATGGGGAGGGTGTGAGCCCCGTGGGAGGTAGAACTCTATCCTGACACCAGACCTTGTCACTCCTTACTTGAAGCTGGTAAGGGAGGAGTTCTTGATGACCCAATGTTTGTGGGAGGTTCTCCTGACTGGCCTTCACCTCCCCTTGTAGGGATATTCCCAAGTTCTGTGTGGGGAAGGGAGTCCCACATAACCATCATCTTGTTTGCATTGTTCAAAATTGCAAAGGCCTGGCTCCTGGCCCCTCTTATGTGAGTGGGAGAAAAAAAAATCATCAAAGATGGATGAAGCAATGCCAAATAATTGCTTCCTCTTCAGAGTATTCTGAGTCTTGAGTGATTTCTACCTACCTTCCCCGAACTCATGAATTTGGGCTAAAACACATGCACAGGTATAAAAATGGGGATGGAGAGGACTGGCTGCTGCTCATGAGTGGGTGGCTCTATTTACTGACATGAGGATGCCTGGGGGAGAAGTGGGTTTGGAGAAATGTGATTTGGGACAGTGGCTGGCCCAGAGTAGAAACTCACTATTTATGGAAAGAATGAATGAAACATGGGTAGGCACCGGGCTCTGAGAATGGAGCCATGTGCCTCAGGGCACAGTGAGATAGAAGGTGCTACAAATTTCCAAGGTGAGCCAAGACCTGGGCTCTAGTTCCCACACATGTGCTGCGAGCGTGTGCTGTTGGCCATGGTAACCACAGAGGGTGTGTCCTACTGCGGTATGCAGGCCAGACCCCTGCTTTCTGGTCTGCAGTGTAACTAAGTGCAAATGACTGGAAAGGAAAAATGGGAAGGGTATCGTGGCAAATAAAGGTGTCGGAGTAATGGTCCTAGTTCTGTCACTTCGACTTCAGAAATTCTATTTCCCTATCTTTGAAACGGGAAGGGTGCCCTTTGCTCTTCCTGTTCCACAAGGCTATGGTCGGATGCCCACAAGGTCACATTTGCGTGATTTGAAGATGCGGATAATTCTTTGTGTGGTTTTCAGCATGAATGTGAATTTGGATCTTTGTCTATGTGAGTAGAAAGACGAAGGAGAGTGTGAAGTGTGTGTCTGATGTGACAATCAGAATTTGGCTTCTCTTTGGCCTGGCCTGTGTGTGTGTGTTTGTATGTCCATTTCTTTTTTTTCTTTCTTTTTTTTTTTTGGTGTGTGTGTGTGAGACAGAATCCTTCCATATACTCACACCTTTACATTCTTCTGGAGGGCTGGCATTTGAATATTTGAAAATTTGCAAATAGATGGGATGTTGTGCTTTTCCTGGCGGGCTGTGCCTGCTGCCTGTCTGGAGTGCATGTTCTATTTCTCTCTGCTGCCCGTGCTTCTCCGCACCCCATCCAACCTGTGCCTAGTGGCAATGCGGGCTGCAGATGCTGAGGGATGTGTTCAATGGAGGTGCTTACAGGCATCTCCACAATCTCCACCACAGTGTTGGCATCAGTGGGTGCTTGTGTGCATACATGCACTGGGCCTCCTCTAGATACCCAGAGGGAGACTCACACCAGCTGCCTCTCTTCTCCCTCAGGCCTGCCCTTGGATCAGGCTCCTCTCTGGACATGAGTGATGTGGCAGGCGGCAGTGTTAGATCGCATAGCATGTTCTGCCTTGGGCGTGATTCTCTCAGGGAAGGAGCAGCATTTTCCCACCTCCCAGGTCTGGCAGGGCCCACTGGGCTGGGCCAAGTTCAGCAGTCCAGGGGCTGGAGCAGACTTGCTCTAAGGATATCCTAGATGTGTTGTCTTCCTCCTGAGCATGGACCCTGTGCTGACAGTCTCATTTCACCACACAGCCTGTCCACAGATGCCATCTCTGTCACCCTGACCTTCCATTAACCTGTATTTATAAGGACAGTGTGTGTGGGGAAGAGAGATTTTTCTGAATAAAACTAAGAAGGTAGATACTGGCTTTACCCATTGAGCAGACTGAACCTCTGGCCAGGGCATCATGCTATGCAGATGCAGAGGCACTACTTACATCTTGGAGGATGTGGGTGGTAGCACATGGTAGCCCTGCCTTTGGCCATAGGCTGCTCTGAAGCCTCATGGGTATGCATGGCGGAGCATTTATTCCCTGCATGTTTTGTGAGATGGAGTCAGGATCTGCCATAGGAGTGGCTGGTAGGGGAGTCACCTATGTGAATGTGCTTTGTTATCTGAATGATCAGGGAGAAGGGAGGACTGCTCATCAAAGTTGCCCAAATAATTCTCTGAAGGATGGGCAGGTGGAGGTGTGAGTGCCACTGGGCATGACATTTGAGCATCTGTATGGACTGGTATGACCTCTTTGTCCCTGCATGTGTGCCTCAAACATGAGATCCATGTATTTGCTAATAGCAAGGACTCAAAAGTTGCCACTCGGTTGGAGTGGTGAAGATGGGGAGTCCACAGCACCTGTGGCGAAACTGCAGACGGCCGAGGACTCTGACCTCCCTCCAGAAATCTGCTGGTGGCTTGGGGCTTGAGCTTCCTAGAGGTTGGGGTGAACTGAACCTGTTCATTTTTCTTTCCCAGAAGAGACAGAAGGAGAAGACACCACATGTCGATGTGGGAGCCACGCAGCAGCCACCTGTATGTGTGTACCGGTTTGCGTGTTTGTGAGTGGTTCTGTGTGGGTGTGGGGACAATGTGTTTTTGTCCTTGCTATGGACAAAGTGGCAGTGGGTGTGCATGTCAGCGTGTGCCTCGGTGTGTGTGTGTTTCATGCCCATGACCTGTGGACGTGCCCTTCTGCACCTTTCAACGTGTGCTTCTGTCAGCGTGTGTCAAGTACGCGGCCCTGTGCGTTGTTGCTCTTGTGTGTGGCCTGTGAGTGGGCATGTGTTGGTAATTAGCACTGGGTGTTCCCCCCATAGCAGTTGTGTACATCTGTGTGGGCCTCGGCGAGGATGTGTGTGGGTACATGAGTCCCCTTGACAGTGGTGGGCGTGTGCTTGTGACATGTGAGGAGTGTGTCTGTCCTTCTGCCCTGGGAGCCCTCTCCTGTGCGCTCTTCTGCATGCCTCACATCTGCATTCCCACTGCCATGTGGTTGCTCCTCTAGGCCTGTGAGCTGCAGAGCTCAGGACTCAGGAGTGATTTTTGAGCAGGAGCTGGTGGTAGTCTCTGTGCAGACCGTCTCCTGTGGGTTTTATCAGCTCTTATGGAAGAGACCCACAGGCCTCTCACTTTGGGGGAACGATGTCAAGATTTTTGCTACATAGTTCTACTTGCCACTGTTCTTAACCTCTGTTGGTGTGTGAGCATGGTACGTCTTCACCCTCGCTATTCCAGGCTGCAGTCTAAGGGAAAAGCAAGGGAGATGAAGGGGAGGAAATCTCTGACCTAGAATCCAGGGCCATTGGTGGGTACGGAGTGGGCTCCAGCTGATGTCCTGAATCCAAGGAGAACCAGGGAGCGAGGGCCTTTGTACAACCGCCCTCGTAGACTCTGGGGACGTGGGAGTCGGTACTAGAGCTGATCCCTCCCCTACCCCTTGGCTACTGCAGAACAGGGATTGGAGGGAAGAGCACCATGGACTGGACTGGGAGGCATGGGTCCATTGACCTACCAATTCATGGCCACTCTGCTCCTTGCATCTCTCTGTGCTTCCTGTCTCAGGTCTGAGGCGCTCCCATTTGCTCCCCCACCTTGTGCCCATTTGCTCATGGCCCCCGTGGCCGCCCTCCTTGGCCTGTGGCTGTTGGGTTCTGATGGCGCTCCCCGTTTCCCCTTTGCCAGGAGGGAGCGGAGGCGCAGGCACCATATGTCCGTGTGGGAGCAGCGCACCAGCCAGCTGAGGAGACACATGCAGATGTCCAGCCAGGAGGCCCTCAACAAAGAGGAGGCCCCACCAATGAACCCCCTCAACCCCCTCAACCCACTGAGCCCCCTCAACCCGCTCAATGCTCACCCCAGCCTCTACCGGAGGCCCAGGCCTATCGAGGGCCTGGCCCTGGGCCTGGGCCTGGAGAAGTGCGAGGAGGAGCGCATCAGCCGTGGGGGATCCCTCAAGGGGGACGGAAGGGACCTGACCAGTGTCCTGGACAACCAGAGAAGCCCTTTGTCCCTAGGCAAGCGGGAACCACCATGGCTGGCCAGGCCTTGTCATGGGAATTGTGACCCCACCCAGCAGGAGACTGGGGGAGGGGAGACTGTGGTGACCTTCGAGGACCGAGCCAGGCACAGACAGAGCCAGCGTCGTAGCCGGCACCGCCGGGTCAGAACAGAAGGCAAAGAATCGACCTCGACCTCCCGAAGCAGGTCTGCCAGCCAGGAGAGGAATCTGGACGAAGGGGTGCCTGCCGAGGGGGAGCAGGACCGTGAGCCCCGGGGAAGCCACGGGGGCAAGGAACCGACTATCCACGAAGAGGACAGGGGCCAGGACTTGAGGAGGTAAATGAGTCCCCAGAGTGCCTAGAGGCAAGTAGCACAGGACAGGGGAAGGAGTTCTTCAACGGGAGGCTCTCTCAGCCTGTTTCCCCTTTAATAAGATGGTAGATGAGGCTGAAATGCCCTTTAGAAGGTGAGTGAATATCCCAGGCAATGGGCTCCACCCCCCTGAAGACCATGTCCAGTCTTCTCGGGCATCTCTGCTGGGGGTGGGCACAGGTGGAGGGACGGGAACAAGGCAGTGGATGTGGCCTGCGGGGCTTGCCCCTCCACTTGGCCAAGTAGGGCTGGAAGGCATGCTGCTGTGTGCACTCAGCAGGCCCCTCCAGCTCTGGCCACCTCTCCCTCCCTCTCCAGAACCAACAGTCTGATGGTGTCCAGGGGCTCTGGCCTAGCAGGAGCCCTCGATGAGGCAGAAACACCCCTAGTCCTGCCCCAACCTGAGCTGGAGGTGGGGAAGGATGCCACGCTGACTGAGCAGGAGCCAGAAGGCAGCAGTGAGCAAGCCCTGCTGGGCGACGTGCAGCTGGACGTGGGCCGGGGCATCAGCCAGAGCGAGCCTGACCTCTCCTGCATCACGGCCAACACTGACAAGGCCACCACTGAGAGCACCAGCGTCACGGTCGCCATCCCCGAAGTGGGCCCCTTGGTGGATTCCACAGTGGTTCACAGTGAGCACAGTCCCTGGCCCCTTTCCACCCACTGCCCACCCCACCCAGGGCCAGGCACAGCTGGCTCTGGGGTCCTTGCAGCAAAGCTTTATAGAAAGTCCCCACCAAAAGTTCTTCGGGTAGAACATGGTGGTGGCTTTCTTTTGCAAAATGAAAAGGATTTTTTCTCAATTTTATTTTTGCCCATAAAATTTCCTTAAGCTTTGGTCCTGTGACTATCCTAGATTCCTCAGAGGGATCCTATGTGACTGGGTACCCAGTTCCATGTCCAGCTATTTGATTTAACTTTTGAATATTCTGTGACCTCTACGGTGCTCTGTCACCAGGGCAAATGAGGAGGGAACCCCTGCTAGGGTGCACTGTGGCAAGAGGGCTCTTTCTGGCCCTGGTTCTGCTCACTAAAAGTGGCCTCCCAAAACCTCTGCATCCCTCCAGACCTCAGTCTGGCATCTGTAAAGTGAGCCTTGAACTAGAGAATCTGAGGTCTTTCCCTGCTAACATTTTATGATTCCATTACTCTTTATCAATCTTTTTATCCTAGGAGCTTTTAGTCACACTTTCTCTCTGAAGTTCCTTCAGGCAACAGATGTTCATCTGTGAAACTTTAAAGGGAAACACAGCAAAAAAAAAAGATCATTTCACCTTTGACCCCATCCCACCCCTCCCAGCCTCAGTCCCACCAGCTATACCCTCCTGAGTTGTTTTCCTTCCACTTTTCCACACTTTTCTTCCACACATCTTCTCCTGTTCCTGTTTGCCTTTCTTCCATGGCTTGCTCTCTCTTCCTTCATATTTTCCACAATCAAAATTCCAGTTCTGCTTTGAAAAGTGAAATCTCGCGTGTCCAGTGCTTCCTGGGGCTAACTTGGGCGTGTCTGAGAACTCCAGACTCGGTCTCTTTTGGTGTCTGTTTGATTTTATACTTTAATAAATGTTTTGGATCCTCCTTCATGAGAAATAGCCCAAGAGAGCTTGACTGTCCCTCTGTTCCCATTCCAGGGCTAGTCTGTGGCCTTGGGCACAGGTATGTGTGTGATAGGAAGGCTTTTGGATACACCACATGAGTCACCTTTTGGAAGGCCCCAGCGAGGTGCCAGGACCACAGAGGTTTGCTGCCCACCCGGGGTTCCAGGATAGTCACTGAACAGAGTAGTGGGAGAGGCTGGCTGGGTCCCCCTCCCTATTCTGTTAGCCTCAGCCTCCAGCCATCTTCACCTATATGGGGACTCGAGTATGGAAACAGAACAGCGGCCCAAGAGGTCCACTCATCTGCTGGCTCCATGGTCCTCCCAGCTTGGCTTGTAGTCACAGACCCATATTCTATGACTACTGCATTCTCATCTCTACATTCGCCACGGCTAGAAAAGGCACAGCCAAAAACGGCAGCTGCAGAGTAATAGTTTCTTGAGATCTTCCCCTGCAGCGTGATGTCATTGAAAGCATATAGGATTTTGAATCCCAAACCCATCCTGGCTGTATGACCTTAGGCAAGGTGCTTATATCCTGGAACTGTCTGTACAATGGGAATAATAATTTATGCCACTCAGGGTTTATTGATATAAAAATCCAGTGAGTTCAATAAGAATCCGGAGTTTAAATATCTAAATTTTGTAAATTTTTCAACCATGCTGTTTGCTGAGCCATAGAAATTCAACTGTAAAGGAAGAGGCGTGACCATTATCCTTTGTGTGGCATAGAAGATTATGTCACATAGAATTTGGACAAGGGGAAGGGCTTAACTTTATTATAGAAAATACCCTCGGTGTTTGCAGAGAGCCTGGCTGGGGGCATCCTGGCACCCCTTTCCCAACTGTGCTGTCCCCAACTGTAATTGAAGGGCACTGTGCCACGTTTCTGAAAATTCCAACATGTTCCTCTTGCAGTTAGCAACAAGACTGATGGAGAAGCCAGTCCCTTGAAGGAGGAAGATATCAAAGAGGAGGAAGAGGAGGTAGAGAAGAAGAAGAAGAAAGAGAAGCGTGAGACAGGCAAAGCCATGGTGCCCCACAGCTCCATGTTCATCTTCAGCACCACCAACCCGTGAGACACTTTCCAGTGCTACCCCTTTGGCATGAGGGCAGATAACCTGGGTTTGAGCCAGAGTGATAGGAGGAGGGATGCGAGCCTTCCTAGTAGAAGGTGACCAGACATAGAAGCATCCAGGATCCAATAGGTGAGGTCAGCCGTTAAGTCAACAGCCTCTGAACTCTGTGCCCACAGTCTACAGAGTAACTGAAGACGGGAGAGATGTCATGAGAAAAGAACCCCTTCACCCATTCTTTGGTCAGTAAGTGGTGTGGAGGGAAGAAGGATATTTACTTGAGGTGTCACCAAACATCCCAAAAGAGAGCAGAGCTGAGACCATAGATCCTAGAATGACCACATCATCCACAGGAGTTTCAGTGGGCATGCTCTCAAAGCAGAGCTTGGTGAATGAGATGAGGTTGTCAGGGAAAAGTCTAGAAGGTCAGGTTCAGGAAGGATAGGATTTGGAAGAAACAACTGCCTTCTGCCCTGGAAGTGACATGCAGATCATCTTCTGAGACTAGGAGGACACAGAAACCTTTAAAGGGCACACGGGTGGCAGGGTTCAGGTGGGACTCTGGGATGGGAGGAACCCAGGTTAAGCCGTCAGTCATCGTAAGGCTGGAAAGTAGAATATAGGATATACTTCCATCCCAATAGCCTGTGAAAACCAATTGCTGTTCTTATCAGGAATTTTAATTAGAATCAAGGCCTGTTTTTGTATCTTGGTTCCTTATAGTTTTCTGGGCAGGTCCCAGCTACACAGGGGAGAAGACCCTAAGATGCAGTGAAGGGCACTCCCTGGCTCCCTGAGATTGTGTTGTGTAGCCTGATGCCATTTGCTCCTGTGGCTGTTTGCTTGCGGATGATGTGTCTCCTCTTGTGTGTTCAGCCTCTAAGCAATCTGATTACCTTCCTCCACTGGGGCTGATAATGAAGGGTGGTGCCTGAGAAATTAAGTTGCTCTCCCTGGCGGCAGCTTCTGAAGAGGGCCTGGCTGTGTGGAAGAGGTCAGGGTTGGGTGGAAGGAGTAAGAGGGATAGGGAGGGGAGAGACAAGTGCCCAACTCAGTGAGGCCAGCTCAGCAAGTCTCATCTGCCCCACAGGATCCGGAGGGCCTGCCATTACATTGTGAACCTGCGCTACTTTGAGATGTGCATCCTCCTGGTGATCGCAGCCAGCAGCATTGCCCTGGCTGCGGAGGACCCTGTTCTGACCAACTCGGAGCGCAACAAAGTAGGTTACGGGGGCCATTTGCTGATCTCTGTGGTTCTCTGGGACCTGCCCCATCCCTACTCCTCTCCTCCAGCTGCAATTGGAGGGGAGCCAAGATTGGCAGGAAGGTTGCTGGGGAATGAGAAAACATGGAGAAATTTCCCACTCCTATTTCTCAGAAGTATCACCATTCCAGAGAAGCCCCTCACAATCCCCCAACCATACTGTATGCCTTTATGCTGCAGCTGTGGGTCTTCACCCAGAACCAGCCAGGGCTTGAGAGGGGCTCTGCAGCTACCTGCAGGCTCAGGGGGATCTGACAGAGCCTAGACTGATGCACGCACAAAGCGTGAGCTACAGCTTTATCACAGGGTGTTGAGACATCCCTGGAATCCCACAAGTGTATGTCAGGAGATCTGAGGGTGGCAAGGAGGGGAGGGACTGTTGGTGATTCCAGATCCGAAACCAGAACTGGAGCAAGTTTTGTGGGAGAAATTCAGACCCAAAATATTAAGTTCTGGCCAAGGAGAGGAAATGGTCAAGGACTGGCCACTGGGCCACATGGCTCCAGCAGGCTTCAGGGCCCTCTCATCCCTTCCTCCACCTCAATTCAACTAGTGGTTGTAATTCCACACACCTTTGTTCTTAGGGGGAGTGGTGGGAGCCAGGGTGGTTGTGCAGGATGGAAGCGTGTATGTACCTTGGTGGCCTGTGTGCTCCTCTTACCTCTCCCTGTGTCTTACAGGTCCTGAGGTATTTCGATTATGTGTTCACGGGTGTGTTCACCTTTGAAATGGTTATAAAGGTAAAAATCCTCCTGAGAAAACCGGGGCTCCAGGGTTTGGATGGGTCGCCTGTCTGCTCCTTGAGTTTAGGGTCTTTCCCCAATGGTGCCCTACAGTAGCTCATGACAGAGCCTCGGGAGAGTCTTTGCTGTTTCCTCCACTCACCTCTGAATCCTGTGTCAGTGAGACATACCTATGTAGCTGTCTTTGGGCTGAACAAACCTGTACATGTGGCCCGAGTAGTGGGAAGACTGTGTAGACAGGTGAACTTGGGTGAACTCTCCCCTCTGCCCAATGTACTTCCTAGATTGAGCCTGGGCAGGTGCCAAGGCATAGGGTCAGGTAGAGGTGAGACTTCCTGGACTCCGTCCAATCCTAGGTGTACTCCCTTCAATCACCATGATATCCCCCACCCCCACATGCCTATCTTGTTCCCAGTCTCTCCTCTGGGTTTTACCCACCTGTGCATATGTGGCAAGAACAGGAATCTAGTTCCACCCCATGTGGCTAAGAGAAAGGAGCTTCAGCGATCACCATTACCTGGAGCGAGCCTGTTGGACACCCACTCTTGCTCCTCAGGTCTCAGGGTAGGGTTGGTTGAGGAGATGGTGGCAGTAGAGGTGCTGCCATGATGAGCCAAAGCTCACGACGGTCATCCGCCCTTGCTGAGCTCACCTGTGGTTGTTTATACCCTTGTCCTGCAGATGATAGACCAGGGCTTGATCCTGCAGGATGGGTCCTATTTCCGAGACCTCTGGAACATCTTGGACTTTGTGGTGGTGGTTGGTGCATTGGTGGCCTTTGCTCTGGCGTAAGTGGCTCGATTCCTATTTTGTTCCCTTTTCTTCCCCCTCTTCCTGGAGACTCTGGTTGATTCAGGGCCTTCTCCGTGGCCAGCCTGAGAAATGAAACAGTGGGTCCAAATAGTGCTGCCCCAGGAATCTGCTTACCACTTGTCCTCCACCGACCTCCTAAGGGCTTCACAGCTTCAGCTCATGTGACCTAAATGCTCCTGCCTCCCCTCTCCTGCCAGAAAGCATCAGGAGGCAGAAGTCGGAGGCCCCAGCACAGGAGGAGCTCGGGGTGTTGGCAATGCCTCCATGCACCTAGAAGCAGACCCAAGGACAGCAGATGTGTCTTTTCATTCTTTAGTCTATCAAAGGAACAGCTCGAAAGAAGGATGCAGAGGGAGAGCAGTTCGTGTTTCCAGAGTCCTGTGCACAGGGAGGTTTTTGCCCTTAAGTAGGGGTAACCAAGAACTAGTGCAGGGACATAAAGATCATATGGATATGTTTCATCTCCAGACATCACGACTTTCCAAACCCTCCTGTCTACACACTTAAGAAGATGGTCTTAAGCCATTCAGGTGACTAAACCATGTTCATTTCATTTGGGGGACTTTCTCCCCCACACACATTATTACTACTGTAGCAGGTTTTCAATCATATTCTCATATTTCCTGCGGAACTCAGCCAATGGAGGGGCTCTCCTAGCCCTCTACTATCCCTGTTCTAGCTAAGAAATAGGGATACTGTTGGGGCATTTTGGAAACCAGGTATTGGGAAGGCCCCAGCAGGACTGATGACAGCCTCTGAGCTCTGTCCATACCTTGTCCTATGGAGAGCAGCTTTTGTCTCTTCCGGGTGACACAGTAGAATTCCCTGAGCCATCCTTCCAGCCTCTTTAAGTAGGAGCCACCCCTTCTAAGCAAGGTGAGATCCACATTATTTCTGATGAAACAGAAGGAAGCTCAGCAGCATGAGGAAAGGGACAAGGTGTCTCCGTAGGTTTCCTCTTTGCAGGTCTAAGCTGTTAGGAGGTCAGTCATCCCTCTTCCCTGCAAACACCGCCAGCCTCCATTCCTTATCCATCCTGGCAGGACAAAAAAGGTGGGGTAAAGCTCAGAAGCAATGCTTCCCAAGTAGGTGCACTCTGTCTGCAGGAGAGGGGAGAGCTCCCCAGATGTGCTAAGAGTCGAAGCTCATCCAGAACCAGAAAGGACTGCTGCAGCAGCCACTGAGACCCTCCAAAAGAGAGCGTGGTTGAGTATGACTCTGAGATTGGCCGGCGGTCAGGATAAGTCTGGTGTGCCTTGTCGCCTCGTGCTCTAGTGTAGTAACCCCATTGGACTTGGGTGGAATTGCCTTTCCCCTCCCAAACTTTAATTAGACACACATGAACTGCTCCCAAGGAAATTTCACACAAGTATCACAGGTTCTCCCAGCAGTGTCAAAACGCCCAGATCTTCCTTGTCTCTCTTGGGAAGATGTGTTAGTCTACCTTTGTCCTAAGGTAGCCCACCTTATTTTTGATTAGAGATAAATAAAATATTACCCTTGAGTTCTCAAAAGGTCAAGTTACCTTCTAATTCTATCAGTTCATTTGCATGCATTATTCCCCATGTAATTCTCTCATTTTGACTCGGTAGAATAGTTTGTCTTTGGATAAAGGGTGAAAAGAGAGCAGCTACAGGAAAGAACTCGAAGGAACTTGAGGAAGAATAGTGTTCACTGGGGTGGCGGGAAGGGTGTGGGCTGTGGAGTCGGGCAGAGCCTAGTTTAAAGATCAGCCCCTCTCCCTTCCAGCTGTGTGTCCTTGAACCACACCAAAAATATTAATCCTCCCAACCTCAGTTATCCCAAAAATGGAGACAAGATGTGTAAAGTGTTTAGCACAGGGCCTGGCAGTGTGAGTGATCAATAAACATTAATTCTCTGCTTTATCCTTCTAACTCACTTCCTGCCATGAAGCGTGAATATAGGAGCGATGTATGTGATGGTGCATAATGCATGTAGATAGTTGAAGACGGACTTGGGCCAGTCCAAGAACTGTGTGACTGTTTCTCACCCATCCGCCCCCACCGGTGTCCGTGAGCCTGGTAACCAGGCAGGTGTGTCGGTGCCCAGGGGCGGCAGGTTAGAGGTGCAATTTAGAAGTTCCTGTGTGCTTTCCCTCTGCACAGTCCAGCTGTCTTTCCTCGGGCTCAGAGTGACAACAATGTGCTGTGGGCCTGTCATCTGTCTTGTTCTTTCTCTGTGCTCTTTGAAACGTGGCAGTGGTGGCTTTAGTGCTGGTGGCAGGGGAAGCCTTAACAGCCCTGGACCTGAAGGCTCTCTCTTGGTCCTCAGACCAGGTACAGTGCAGAGAACTGCAGAAAGCCCCTGGGTTGGGGTCCCTGCTTATGTGATGGATTGACAGTGATGATCCATCACTTGCTTTTAGTGATGTTACTTCTCGAACTTTCTCTTCATTTCTCCCCAAAATGCCGCTGGTCTTGCCCACCCTTCTCCATACACTCTGTCATCATCCTTCCAAGCTTGCCATGCCTAGTCCCTCTCCCTTTTCTTTGCCCATGAATCAGGCCCCCTGCTCTTCCCTCTTCTGGTTTTTATCACATTTGCTGAAGTCCAGGTAATGCTTTCTCTCACCCATATGCCCATGCTTCCTAACTCTGCTCCTTCCCCTTCTCATTAAGGGCACCAGAGAATTCAGCTCTACTATCACATTGGTAGGGTTAGCAGGAGTCCCACTTGTCAGCATCTTGAAGGCATGGTCTGGGGAAGAGAGCCTGTGTCCCCCAGCATCAGGGGGTCAGGCCAGCAGGAAGCCAACCGTGGGTTGTCAGTCTCTCTCCTTGTGGTTGTATGACTTTGATCCTCATTGCCCATAGATTTGCCCCACAGAATGTCCACCATTCAGATAACTTTATTCCTGTCCTGGTTTCTTTGTATCCTCCTTGAAATTGAATCTTGCCTTGCTGAGGCTTCTGCAAAGGATATTGCTCAGTCCGTTTGAACAACTGATGGAGGTTGCCATGGTAGCACCATTATGTGGCTCCTCAGAAACCAGAGGTGATTTGGCATCCCTTCCACCAATGCCAGCCAGACCCTTCTCAGAACCCAGTCTGACTCACAAGAGCAGTGTCCCTCACCAAGGGGAGGGAATAGCCTCCAGCTGAATTCTCAAAGAAAGCTGCACTGTCCACCAAGTCAGTCCTGTTGCAGAGATCTGCACCTGCCGTCACGTGCTTCCTAAAGCTTATGTGTTATGTATGTAGTTGCTGGAGAGAGGTCACTGTTCTCTGTAGCCACATACATACTAAATGAATTCTTTATAATGTAAACCTGCCAAATTCCATTTGGAAACTTGACTGACTTTTGATGAGAAGAGGGAGGGGATTTGTTATCAGCATGCACATACCAGTGGATAGGAAAATCAACAGAAAGATACCCACTTTGCATCTCTTCTGTTCTTCTCAGTCCACTTTTACATTATAAAGCATTTATAAGAACACTCGGGTCTCCTCCTAAGCCCAGAGTCTCTGTAGGGAGGTGGGCAGGTTTTGGCAGGGGTTGGGAAGAGCTCTCCCTAATTCCACTGCCCTCACAACACCCCACTTTCTGGGCCATATGGAGACACGTAGTGTTTGCCAACTATAAATGTCCCCAGCTATGCCTTTTCCTCTTTGAGGTTTCAAGAAAAGTCTGGTGAGTGGCTGGGTCTATGAAACCTTTGTCTTTTATTTTTTTTCTGAAAAGGGGGGATTCTTCTGTGTGGTGATTTTTTTTTTTTTCTACTGAAGAACCAGATACTGCTTCCCTTAATTTCCTGAAACCCTGTTGCCATCGCTTCTACCTCCTGGCCTCCTGGGTGGGAAGGTGGAGATGGTTACGGCCTTGGCATTTCTGGGTACTGCATATCAGGGTGCATTCTTGCACTTCAGGGCACCTCACCCCACCCCAAGGCAGCTGCCTGTGGGATAGGTCACGTGACTACCGTGCAGGTTGTCTTCTTGAGCCTTACAGGACCCTGCATGGTGAAGGTGCTATGTCCATGTGACTCATGTCTTCCAGGTTTATGAAGGAAGAGGTGCAGGCAGGTAGATAAGGACAGCATCTTAGAGGGGAAGTGCTAGAGAGGCCTGGAATGCCTTGTTTGGGGGACCTTCACCTTCCATTTCCACTGTTCCATGGGATGTCACTTGGCTTGTTCAACTCACATGGGCAGGTGAGCTGTCCTAGGTTCCATTCTCAGTAGTAAGCTCACAGCTGTGATTGCTTGTTGGCACAGATGTTTTAACAGAAACAGGACTGGTGACTCTGCTCCTCCTTCCTCCCCCACCTTGGGACTTACTCTGCACGTGCATCAGTCGGTCACGTGGGCTCTCTGGCTGCTGATGCCAAAGCTTCCCATGGCTGTTTGCTGTTGTGGCAGGGCAAGAGGTGAGGTCAGGACTCCTTGGCACACCAGGGGATCTGGCTCACAGCCGCACTTGGCCTTTCATTATTCAGTCCTTGGCCAGAAACAAAAACATGAGTCAATCTGCCTCTTGATGCCAGAAGGAACTGGAGTTCCCACATTAGCTTTTATTACATTCTTTTCATTCAAGTGTGTCACTTTCCTGACACTTGACATTCTGCCCTCATCGCTAAGATGCAGAAGGTCTCTCGAATGCATTCAGAACTAGCCATGGCGGCAGAGCTGCTTCCAAATTCATTTAGTGAAACACAGGCACAGGGGATTCCAGATTTGGAAGGTCCCGATGCAGCCACGTGACATGCTCTTCTGTTCTGGTTTTTGTGGGGGTTTGTGATTTTGATGGTGAGAATGTGCACGCCCAAGAGAGGAGTGAATGATACTCAGAATCAAGATGAGTAGAGCTCATGCATGGTGAGTATATAGGGACAAGAGAGCAAATTTTTCACTGGCGGTCATGCTCCTATTCTCCTGTCTATGTATAAGGCAGCCCCCCCCTGCCCCCGCAAACTTCAAGCTTTTTCCGGGGAACTTCCTTCTTGACAGCCCCTGCTC